AACTTCTGAGTCCTAGTTCCAATCCACCACTGATTTGTGATATTTTGGGCAAGTCTCTTCACCTCTTTGAGCCATAGTTTACCCAACTGTAAAATGGACATAATACTTCATATGGGTGATATGTCTTAGTGGAAATTTTCATAAAGCACAAGTCCTCCCATGGAAAGCTCTGTACAACACATCTTGGGAGCTCAGTAGAATAAGTCCAAGTGAAAAATAATTCAAATAGTAAAGATCACTTTCAGCTTTTAAATTTATTTTTTCAACCAAAACCACTTAGTTTTGTTCTCAGAATGCAAACAAGTTACTGACTCAGGGAGTTTCAGGTACCACACCTCTGTAGTTAGAGAGCATTTTCTAAGATGGCTAAGAAATTGTGTGCACTTGCCAGAAATAATATTAGGGTAGATCCCGGGTGTTTGCTTGATGAATTCATTCATTCAATTTGCTCAGCTACAGCAATCTTGGCATACAAAGGCAACCCAGAGAAATACCTCAGTTAGGAACCTGAGCGCTGCAGAGAGGACCAATTGTCCAAGCAAGGCTCTACAACTCAAAAGCCATCATGCAAATGTGTATCCAGCAGTTTGCATAATGAAATGAGAATAAAAAGATGGAACATTAACCACTTTTCTGCCACTAGATGGCAGAATTTCACAAGAGGGGTTTATGCTTGGGGCTTCGATGTCTGAATTATGCACTGTGCCACAATGAATTGTTAACAGTTCCGGCAGTTAAGGGACTAAATTTGGAAGTGCTGGATGGAGGAGATAGTTTATCTGATATCCTGTAATCCCTGGAAAAGAGTGTTCAGATCAACAACAACTAAACTGTAAAAGCTACAGAATGTCCCACAGTTACTGGGTTGGCTGAATGAGCGTTGCTGCCACGTGTGGGCATCCTCAGAGTCTGGCCACGGGCTAGCACCCCATCCCACGTGGAAATCCTGGCTCTGACAGGAGTTCCGAGAAGTCAGGACTTCGTCTATTCCTCACCTCTTTCAATCAGTGTAATGAGCAGCACACAAGCAGGCAGGCCATTTGCGCTTTCTTCTAGAAAACTCTGACAGGACAGCACTGCATAGGAGAATCCTAGACATAGGGATCACACTTATTAAAGTGCACAGGGGGCTGAGAATAACCCCTTTGCCCCACTGTGAGGAGGGCACAACAGCATCTCCCAAATGTATGAATCTGAAATGCTCATAGAAATGCTCATAGAAAAAAGAGCAACTATCTTTTCCTTAGGCACTCACACTGAGAAATTCACCACACTGAGTTCAGAGAAGTGGGAAGTCGGTCAACATATCGTATCAAAGAAATGTACATGCACATCTACCTTCTTCTGCAGTCTCAGCACAACATCCCTGACAAGTAACCTTCTGGCTCCCTCTGGTGGAAGAATTCCACTCTTGCTTCCGTACCTTTCCCACCCTGGAACAGGTGTAAAACCTGACAAGAAGAAAAGGAAGCTGTAAGTTCTACTTTGAAATAGGTTTAAAGGGCCAAATCTCCTAATAATCTGGGACTCTGGGAGCCACAAGGGATGTGCACATAGACCTAGTAGCCAGGTCTAATTGATTTTAACGGTACTTGAAATCATCAGGGCCTCAAAAAGCAGATCTCCCCACACAGAAAATGGAAAGCCTGAAAACAATCTCTTCTGTAATCCGGCATCTGCCTGCTCATGCCTGGGCTTTTCTAGATCATTGGGGAAAGCAATTGTATCAAATACTTTTAAAAAATTAGAAAAAAAACCACCCTCTTCTTTAAGTGGACATGGACAATGGTGGAACTCAAGGGTTAGCTTCCCTTTTTCCGGCCTAGACTCTTTTCTGGTCTATGCAGTCTCCCTCACTGTCGTGGCATGCATTTGGCCATGATTCTGGTAGCAGTCACAGTGCTGGCACCTCCCAAGTCTTGAGATTTTTTAATAGGCACTCCCAAGGGCTTTGAATTCATCCAAAAACCTGAGACAGGCCGCCATGCTTCAGAACGATGACTCAGTTTTCATTATCCCCTCCCTTACCAATGACACTACACCCCAGAGTGTAATCCTATCTTCCCATCCCCGAGACTTAATTAGCATCGTCACATCCTAGAGAAATAGGGAGTCATTTTATGCTTTGAGTTTCCCCTGCTCAATTGTGGCTCTCAAGCTAAAGTAATGGGTCATTTCCCCACTTTGTTAAGTTCTGTTCTGATTCCAGGGCTACCAAGAGAATAACATGGGGAAAAAATGGAAACCCAGCATCAGAACAAACACAAAAATCAGGCACATGTGCTGCAAAATACACAGTGAACAGAGGAATTTCATAAAGGATGGGGTTTGAATAAACTTTCAGGGGTTTAGATACTTATTTGGCTCAAGAGAGGTTTCCCACCAGACCCAGTCATCATCCATCCCCTGCTAATTGGCCAATGAGACAATGTAGTGGCTTGGGAGACTGCACAATGGCCAGTGACTATACTCTCGTATGGCTGAAGGGTGGCTACCAGGCCTATGACCCATCTGACATCTTGAGAAGAATGTGGAAAGGCTGAGTCTCCATACCCAGTAGCTAAAAGTGGGCTTGGCACTCTGCCTCCCTTCAGAAGACCCATTGTTCTTTCCATCCCCATTGTTCTTTTGTCCCCCATTAATCTGTCTGAATCCCCAACCATACCTGTCCACCTAGGTGAAGAGTTTTATAGGAGAGGACGTAGGGGTTGACTCATCTCCTACCCCAAGCACTATTGTAGTAAGTGGTAGTGGGTGTGTTGTAGGGTGGGAAGTGATATTTCTATATTTTAAGTGGGAACAGTGCATTCGATTACATCTTGGCCCCCCTCCTCTTAGTTCTACCCTGAATCAGCAGCCTGTGCAGAATATCACCTGCCTCCTACCTAACTGAACAGAGAGCCTGCTTTCAGAGAGATAGCCATGTTAGTCTGTTTCAGCAAAAACAACAAGGAGCCCGGTGGCCCTTTAAAGGCTAACAATTTTATTATGGCTTAAGCTTTCGTGTATTGCAATTCAATTCCTCAGATGCATGCAGTGAAAACAGCAGTTAGTAGGGATACAGAGATGGGAGTGTTTACATCAAAGCTAATTCAATCAGGGTGGATATAGCTCGCCTCCAAGAGCGATGAGAAGGGGAAAATACCTACAGGGGGAAATGACTTACTGCAATGAGAAAGCCACTCCCATTTTCTATTCAGACTCATTTTGATGTCAAATTTGCATATAAATTCCAGCTCAGCACTTTCACAGTGCAGTTTGTTTTTGAAGATTTTTGCTTAATAATGACAATTTTCAAATCTGGAACTGTGTGTCCAGGTAGGTTAAAGTACTCCCTGACTGGTTTTTTTAATGTTACCATTCTTGATGTCTGATTTGTGTCCATTTATTCTGTTGTGTAGAGATAGTCTGGTGTGTCCAAAGTGCATGGCAAAGGGTGTTGTTGGCACAGGGATGGCATAGATCACATTAGTAGGTATGCAGGTGGATAAGTCTTTGATAATATGGTTGATGTGATTAGGGCCTATGATGGTGTCACTAGGGTAGATGTGTGGACAGAGTTGTCAGTGGGGTTTATTTCAGGGATTGGTTCCTGGCTTAGTGGGGTGTGAAACTGGTGGTGAGTATTTGTCTCAGGTTGTCGTAAGCAAGGACTGGCCTGCCTCCCAATGTCTGAGAGACTGAGGGATTGTTATCTAGGGCCAGTGTTTCTCAACCAGTGGTACGAGCACCCTTAGGGGTACTCAAGAGAAGTCTGGGAGCTACATCAACACAACTGAAATTTGGAGAAAAATGAATTTTTGTTTCAAGTTTTACAGCGCTTTCTTATTTTTGTATTTTTTATATCAAAAATTTCATTGCCCACATAGCTAAGATTAAGTTGTTTAAACAAATGTGTTGTAACAGTAGAAAAAAATGTGTATGTCTGAAAACTGTAGGCACTGGGGTACTTATAATTTTTTTTGAAAAAGGGGTATTTTATAAAAAAAAGGTGAGGAACACTGATCTAGGGTATGTTGGAGATCTTGATGAGGTATAGCAGAGGTTTTAGCCAGGGGCTGTAGGTAATGTCCAGAGGCGTTCTGTTGCTGTCTTTGTTGGGTCTGTCCTATAGAAAGTGACTTCTGAGTTCTTAACTGGCTCTGTCAAACTTTTTCTTCTCTTCCCCAGGTGGGTTTTTCAATGCTTGATAGCAGGGGCAATGCATAGAGGGGGAATGAGGGGTCACATGTGCTCCTGAAGGCCATGGGCGGGAGGGACTGGCCAGCAGCTGGTGAGGGAATTAGCAGGGCCAGGGGAGTGGGCAGGGCCTGCAGG